GCGAACCCCGATGCTGCCCAAGCCACATCCCAAGCTAAACCTTGCCCAACACTCAGACGCTTTAGGGGTGGAAGCAAGGGGGTAAAGACCAGAAAGAGGAAGAGGAGCAGATGGAATCGTAGTTGAATTAACCAATTTCTCCAAATCCAACCCATCCTCCTATTTAGATAGTACTTTTTGTAACTATGTGCAATGAATTTGTTGATACACATATGGGTCAACCGAGTGCGTGGTTCCTGGCACAAGCGAGATGCGCTTCAGTTTATAAATGCCTTCCGCCTAGTGACAATTGCGCTTGAATTCTTTGCAAAGTACAGTGGTACTGTCTCATTTACGAATTTAATCCATGCCAAGAGATGGTTCGTAGGCTAAAAATTCATAAACCAAAAAAAATTTTCCCACAAGAAATAATGTAAATTGAATTAATCTGTTCCACATGCCCAAAAATATTAATTTAAAAATATATTTTATACAGAATACTACTAATTTTTTTACTATACCTTACCTTTATTGACGACTCTTGTTGGCGAATGGAAGATGGTAGGGAGGTGAACATCAGGCAGTGATGACATTTCTGGGGTACACTCTCTCCTACGTTTTGCAGGAATACCACTAGAACAACCAGGTCCTATTGGTATGCCTGCAAAACATAGGAGAGAGTACTCCAGAGAAGTCATCACTGCCTGATGTTATAATGGAAGGGGACTCCCTTTCCAAACACTAACACCTCTTCTCACCATCTTCCATACGCCAACAAGTTATCAATAAAGGCAAGATATAACTTGTACATACTGTAGTACAAAATATTTGTAAAATTATGTATGAAATGTATTTTGAAGTTAATATTTTTGTAAGTGTGGAACGGATTAATTCAATTTACATTATTTCTTATGGGAAAATTTGTTTCGGTTTGCGAATATCCAGTCTACGACCCGTCTCTGGGAACGGATTTAATTCGTGAACGAAGGCATCACTGTACTGTACTACTAAAACAGGAGGATGAGCTGCCAAATCTGAGTCGCTAAACACCAACCAGGGTAGCTAAAGGCATTCAACCAGGCACACTACCTAGACTACTGTAAAACAGAACACCTAAAGATTAAAGCAGTTGCTACTTGAAATCTTGACCACCACCACAAAGTTTGTAAGGAAAGTGATGTGCGGAGAACAAGTACCACACCACTTGGGGTTGAAGGTGTCACCAACCCAGCAAGCAGCATGGCGGCAGACAATGCACAACTCTTGAACTTGCACATCGCGAGAGCGGGTTTAGCAGGAATATGCCACCATTTCGAAGCTCACGGATCACCTAATTTATCATTTTAAATCCTGCGGACCACTAATATGAATCAAATGACTCAGAGAACCACTACATGCGAGGAAGCCCTCTAAGGTAGTGAACCCTGAACACTACAGGGGGAAAAAACCCTAGCAGCACAGTAAAGCACAAAGGAAACAAAGCCCCATGCTCATGCAGCGCCAAGCTCCCTATACTCCTGGCTCATGCAGACAAACATGCATTGGAACAACCACAAAGGCAAAAAAACACCACTTGGGTGAAACAGGAGCCAGAGTAACAGTGGACAGCCAGGGCACTGGCTACCATGAGTAAGAACTAAGAGTGGGAGCAACTGGCTGATCCAGTCTGCCTCCCTCCTCCCCCAATTGAGGGAAGGGGTGGCATGAACGAGCTTGTGCAAGTTTCATGACTTTTCAATCGTTTATTTATTTTGAGGGATTGATATTTACTTATAACGAGCAGTGGTCTCTTGTTTCACTGACTTTGTGGGTGCTTCTCCAGTGGTGGCGGACATGATCATAATTCACTACTTTACTTTTGTCTGTGTAACTGCGAGCTCTGCCTCTTTAGAGAGCATCACCTTCCTAGAAAAAATATTTGTCAATCACTACTGTACTCTTATTGCCTATGCAACTTATCACATGACAAGGTTGTTGGTGGCCTATCAAGTGTTCTTCCCCTGGGGTTACCAACTAGGGTTCTTTGACAAGACTAAGAGTGCACAGTATGCTAAACAATTTTCTGGGAAATCTGACAATTGCTCAACTACAATTACATATGGTCAATTAATTAAAAGCTAACTTTTAAAGTAATTATAAAAAGTTACCAAGCAGGGAAGACTATGTAGTGCTGCTCGTGTCAGGATATTCAAAAGGCATTAAATATTACTAAGGATGACAATACAAGAACGAAAGCAGAAGGCTGGCGCTAAATAGTATGCACGTTTTTGCGACGGATCATTAGCATGCTCGCTCGCTCTCTCTAACAGTTACAGAGTGCATTATGAATAACAAGGTAGAATTCAGAGTAAGGAATTTGTTTCTGGGAAATAAAACAGGCATGAACAACAACTTTAGCAGCAGATTAAGAACCAGCAAATTTTGACTTGCACGAGGTTGTAAATAGACCAATATGTAACTATAGTGTATACTCTGGCCATTTAACATGAATATCAACATACAAAACAACATACCTTTTATTTAAAAACTTGAAGATATACTGTAGGGGTAAGGTGAGTGGGGGTTTGAGGGAGGAATTCTTGGTAGTTTTGGGAGCTATTGCTTGGGGCGATATTTCACTGTTGCCAACAGACATTGGCATGTATTGAGTCCAGGTACCAGTTTTGAAGGCCAGACCACCTGGTTGAATATTATATTTGGATTTTTTTCTAGGCACCTGGACTGAAGACACTTATAGCAGGGAATGATTATTTTCTATCTGGTGACTGCTTTGATACTGTGAGAGGGTTAAAAAGAATGTTTGCCAAGTTTTATATCCAAATCAAATACTTGACGCATTATAGGAACCTTGAATTAACAACCAAAATATTCCTGGTAAACTTTAAACAATTATATACAACATCTACATCATTCGTACACTTATTCTCATTACGAGTCCCCATCTCAAGGTATGTTCCCATATACAATTTGTTCTGATATCACAACTATCTTCAAGTATGCCTAGTCCCCAGCTTCACAATACAGCTATGGTACAGGTACACAGCTGCTTTATTTGGCCTGAGTCTGTGTCCCTAACCTTTATTTTCCTATAATGGCACTCTTACACTTCATTATTTGAAATATTATTTTACAGTAAAATACATAGGATATTAAGATTGTTCCTAAGGTTCTTAGTGTTATTAATAGTATCTCCCCTGGTACATGTCTTAAATATGAGTTTATACTAGACACTAATATTTTTAATGTTATAGTGAGTATGTAAATTCATTAACGTCCACAAGAAAATTATATTTGTAAAAGTGAGTTTTTTAATCAACCATCATGTGTTAAAGGTGATATCTTCTCACATAAGGAGGTAAATAGTTATTAAAAGAAGGACTCACGTCTGGAATAAGTTGCCCAAGTAACTACTACTGCTGCTAGAGTGAAACAAACATCTATATGAAGAGAAAAATAACATTCAAATGGTGAACACAGCAGACAAGAGACAAAACAATTACTATAAAATAAGAAAATGCCCAATAACAAAATTAGAAAAAATTAGGCTTATTGCATCCTAACCATAATTCAACACAATATAAATATGCTTAGACAATCAAAATACTTTTATATAATACACCAAATCTATTGCTCTTAAATATCATGCATATCAACAAATATCAGTCTCTCACATCCTACTTATTCAACAAAATTTTAATATTCAAGAGAAAAACTGCTGAAAAAGCAGTGTAGCCTAATAACTTTAAAATAACTCACTGTCTTCGTGGATTAGTGCCTTCTCTGATTATTACTTACTAACCTACTCATGTCATGGTTTTACCCGTTGTTCTCAAAGATAGAAGTACGTGTACATATTACTGATAAATCTTGAGGCACCTTATGGCTATATTATTGGTCCTAGAAACCCACCTACAAAGACAATAATCACTAAACAAAAATACTGTATACTCAATTTGAGAACTGGTTAGTGGTCAGACATGCAAGAATGAATGTCATAAATCTCATTCAAATTTTATCCCTTTACTCCAGCATTTCATGGCTAATTTTCAAATCATCTTCAAGTACAGTGACACCTCGACTTATGATTGTCCCCACTTACGAATCTTTCGAGTTATGACGCAAATTTTGTCGGAAAATAAGACTACTTAGGACCGTGTCATCAACTAACGACCTTTGTTGATACGCGTTTGGGTCAACTGGGTGTGTTACTGGTGGCACAGCCAACCCTGCCTCAGTTTACCAGAGCCGCCCACTTAGTGACGATGGCACTGGTAAATTATTTAAGTATTTTTGTGCTTTTTGTTTTTTGAACATAAAAGTAATAATTATATATTATGCCATGGGTCCCAAGAAAGTCAGTGGTAAGGTTCAACCTAAGAAAACATGTGAGGATGACCATAGAGAAAAACAAGAGATCATTCGTTAACATGAAAATGGTACGAGGGTTGTTGGAGTAGAGGATGTCCCTTCCTCATTTATTAAGAAAATGTGTACAGTATGGGAAGAACTGCAAAGTTTTGCTAAAAAGTGTCACCCAAATCAAGCTGAAGCAGGCCATTGTGTTAACCTTTTTAATGACAATGTGACGTCTCACTTCAGACAAGTGTTACAATGTAGGGAAAACCAAGTGTTGCTAAACAGGTTTTTACTGAGAAAAACAAGCAGCGAGCCACAAGCAGGTCCTAGTGGTATGCAGGCAAAACGTAGGAGAGAGAGAAAGAGTACCCCTGAAAAGTCATCACTGTCTGATGTTATAATGGAAGGGGACTTTACTTCCCTTCCAAAGACTAACACCAACTCACTGTCTTCCATATGCCAACAAGAGTCCTCATTCAAGGAATGATATACATACTGTATTGTAGTGTTATTCGGTATAAAATGTATTTTAAAGTTAATATTTTTGGGGGTGTGGAACGGATTAATTCAATTTACATTATTTCTTACAGGAAAACTAGTTTCAACTTACGACCCGTCTCTGGGAACGGATTAAATTCGTAAGTCGAGGCCCCACTGTACTGTAATCATAAAATAACATTTATCAATGAGCAATCACATCAAATTGGAAAAACAATGAATTATACTTCATATGGCCTGAATGAACACCAGCAATATTATCACACAACTTTTTAATTTCACCACTACCATCTTGAGAACTAAAAGTCTGATTATTTTTAAAACTTAATTCCTTCGACAAAAAAAAATTAAATAATTAAAAACTATGAATTGTACTACTGTATACGGCAACAGATGTACATCAAAAGGAGTGAAAAAAATATATGGTAACAATTCATCAAACAAGTTTCACAAGTACAGTCAAAATATTAAATTATATATAAGTAATATTATAGATTCAAATTGATGATGGATATTCCTTCAAACTTACAGACTAATTCAACATTTCCTTCATACAAAAAAAGCCTCATTAAAATAGCTAGCAAGAAGGTTTAGGAAGAGATTGTTAATCCACATCTGGTTCTTTTGGAAGAAAATGGCAAAAAAAAAAATTACCATTCTACAAAACGCTCTAAACAGTATACAAAAGCAAGGTGAAGAATCTTTACTTTCAAAGAATTCTATCAAGTGTTGAAGGCATGTTGAGTGGAAGTTGCATTGTAATGCATGCTTTACTATATTGCTTTACCATTTTCTCCAGGTATATGCCTCCAGTTGCCACCCAAAGAAAATAATCATTGTGCTGGTGATTAAACAATTGTTAAAAATGGAAACCATTAGTTTTGTTAATTTAGGATACTTATAAAGATACGGAGTACAGGAAAATAATGTCATTGTAACTACATGTGCTGTATGAAACTTGAAAGAGTTGGATGTGGCTTTTTGGGAAGCATGATGCTCACCATGATACTTCAAAGGAAAGATGAAACATTGAGGCCAAGATTTGTTTACACTGCACAAACATTTCCTGTGGCAAAACAGCAAGAAACTGCCAAGAGAAAATATCCAGCAGCTACCGTGAACTAGGTGTTTACTCAAAATTAAACACACACATATAACTCAAAATATGAAGCATCACTAGGGTCCAGTGACCATTGTATTCACTTGCATGTTAGAGCTGAAAGCTGAAAGCTGGTTGGACCTATGAACATAATAAAGAGCACGAGAATATACAGGAAATTCAGGGCTTGCTGCAACATGTTAAGCGAAAGACAAATGGAAGGAGAACTGGGCGAGAATAGCTGGAGCTACCGTTATACCTCGATAAACGTATTTAAATTTAAATGGAAGGAAATCCAACATATGAGATGAAGTTCACATCTCTATGGCACGTCTACTACTAAATGGTTCTACTGTATTTTGCATTTCCTTTCGTATCTACTACCATATTTTTTAACATAGCAATGTTCCACACATTTAACTAAATCAAGTTCCTCAATTCACATATTACTGAATACTACTGCGCAAAAAAAAAAAAAAAAAAAAAAAAAAATGAAACCCCATGTTCTGGGTGAGCCCCAGAGGCTTCCTGAAGCTGATATGTGCAATATTAGTTTGGGGGGGGCCATCAGTCAGTCCCTTTGCCTACCGGGGATCATGAGCCAGAACCTGGTCCCCTCAGAGGTGCAGGGAGCAATGGCCTATGAGCCCTTTACATTTAAAGTATGTCATAATTGCCATTGACCGGGAAGGCAACCCAGAAAGATAGGCGAAACAAAACGCCACAATCTAGTGAAAATTGCGACCTACGTCCAAAAAGAGCAAAAGAACTCCCCTAGAAAGAAAAACAAGCAACACTTCATCCAACTAGCACTCTCGCTCGTTCTGGTGAGCCAGTAGCCCACCAACCTAGTTCTTGACCGACAAAGACCACCGACCGGAGGGAGGGTGTCAGGGAGCCTCTGGCGCTCGCACTGAAAATGGAGTTTCATTACATTCAATGCTGGTTTTCTGTGGCGAGCCCCGTTAGCTCCCTGAAGCAATCCACAAAAGTAAAAAACAGGGACTTACCCGGGAGACAGCAGCATCGCAGGTCTCAAGGCGAAGTAGAGGCTGACAGCCACGATGGATTCTCCAATGCAACACAAGGCCACAGAAGGCCCAGGACGTTCGAGATACCTGGTGGCCAGGACCCTGTACGACCTCCAAAACCCCTGCACCCAAGACATATTACGAAAAACAGCCGAAAGAACAGCATACATCCTAACATCATGGGCACAAGGGTAGACTGCAGGCTGGCTCGCCTTAATTACACTGCAGACAACCTAAGAGACACGAGCCCTGGAACAGGGAACCAGGGGAAACCAGAACCACCCAGAGCGCGTCCATCACTTAATCGGTGGCCTGTAGGTAGCGACGTAAAGCCACCATCGGACACATTAAATTATGCACCCCCAGGCTAACAACCAAGCCTCCACAACCAATGGACCCCTCCGGAAGCCCGCCATCTCGGTCTTTGCTAGAAAAAAAAAAAAAAAAAAGCTGCTGCAAACGAACACAATGACCACCAGAACCAAACAGATTCCCTTGCGCCGGAGAAGAGTATGAAGCTCCCCCAACCCGAGCCCCAAGAGGCGGCCAGGTAATCTGATGAACAGCTGTCGTGGAGTCTCCTCCCATGCAGGAAGAAGTCTGGGGGTCAACAAATCCTTGTTGACAGGGTTGTTGTATACATAGACAAGGTAGCTTATACAAGGTACAAATCTAGCATATTCACTTGAGTTGTCATTCACATATGTGCATATTCACAGCTGGGTTGTCAAATTTGATTTATGCAGGTGGTACAGCTCTTTTAGCAAAGGTTCATGTAGAGTAGCTGAAAATTATATTTATGTAAGAAAAGATAACAGACAAGTACTTTTGGTGGCGATGAAGAGAAGTAAATTCTGTGTTTGCATGAAATACATAAAGGTGAACAATAAAATGATCAATCATCTAATTACCATTTGTCTGCAACGGATGCAAAGTTGGGAGCAGGGAGGGCCAGGTAAGGACAGTGGCTGGTGCAATGAAAACCCTCTTTACAGAAAAATAATAGAAATTCATTATGAACAGATGGAAAATGACAGCACTGAATGAAAAACAGTAAGGAATGAAAATTACATGGCAAATGTGCAGTGCTGAAGTAGATAAACCACACCATTGAGGAGCATCTTACAAGATAGTTTGCATGTTGAATAAATAAATGACAGTAGACTAGTGAAGAGTATTCAAGTACAATTAAGGATAGAAAGAAAGCCAGGAATTTGATCAAGATACTGAAAATGTGAGAGGAAGTCAAGCACCAAGTGTGAACACAGGACATTGCAAGGACGAGGGAGGGTGCAAGCTGTTTGTAAAGAGTAAATGTATGTTTGTATTGTGTATTAAAAGCTATAAGAAATACTACACACCTGGTGGAGAGAAGTGGGTAGTGGTGGTGCAGGTGTGGACCACTGCTGTTACTCGATTATCTGAGATGCTATATTGTGCAAGTGATGCAACAAATGGGTGATGTTTGTGCATTTTAATATTTAGAACCTGGGAAATATGGTAATGATAATGAATGAATGTTTTCCATTATATGGGATAGGCAATGTGTAGCAAGAATACGAAATTTAAAATGATTAACAAAAGAGCGCAGCCCAATCTTTTCTCTATGAAACGAGCTACACCCAAATGAAATTGCCAACTCGGTAGTATATTCCATAAAACCAAAATTATACAATACACCACTATGATCACTTGAAGGATAAGGGATCAAGGTGGTCAAGGGAATATAGGGTTGCAATTTATAGGGCTGTGGAATGGAAAACAAACATTATTGTGCACCGTTTTAAGACTACGGTGGATATAAAGGGATTAATGCTCTAGAATTATACATGGCACTGTAGTAGTATGAAGTGCTTCCCAGAGTTAAGCTAACTAGTAGAAAATAAAAACTTCCTGCTGGAGCCTTAGCAATCAATACAACCAAAAATGTTTCATATAAAAAAGTTCATTTTTATATTACATAAAAAAATCAAGAAAATCTATACTCTCAGATTTAGCAGTCATCACAAAATAGCAGAAGACAGCTACATGCAGAATATTTTTTAACACTGTTGAGCACTGCAATACAGTGTATGGACCTTTTTCTATAAGGAATAACAATAGTTGAATTATGCAGCCATGTGGTCAAGAAGAGCACCCAAGACAAATGCTCAGGTTGCTGATAGTAAGATGGTGTTAGACTAAAGGTACCTCAAGGGAAGAACCTGCAGAAACCAGCCAAGGTTGAATGGAAACACCTCTTCCTGAGCATTATCACCGCACCAGGACTATATACAAATATGGAACCTCTGGTAACTAGTGTGGTTTCCTCATACATTGAGACATTCAATGGAGCCAACATTTACACACATACTTTTGTCACTCTTGGGAAAGGACAGTTGTCACTTTAATAAAATGTAGAAACGTTTTGAAATGTACACTAGATGGCACTTGTCATATCTACAACAAAGATACCACCTAGCTTTCACATACTCAGTACCAAGATGGGGTATAAATCCACAGGACAAAGTTTTACCCAGTCAGCAATTTACACAGAACATACTACTAGAATTTAAGCAAAATACATCTTTCACAAACACAAAATAACAGCTAGAAATCCGTCAGTCACATTAATGCTGTTTTAGGCAAGTTGGCTTTCTTCTAGTAAAGCCTCTTCTCGTACGAGTGTAGACTATGCACGCTGCCCTCTCTCTGAGCCGAAACACTCCGCCGCTCAATTTTCAGCTCACCACTATACAGCATGGCCCTGGTCAGTTGAGAGGGATTTTTTTAGCAGACCTATACACAAAGCAAACACTTAGAATGGATACATATCACAGATAGAAACCACTATTTTACAAAAAAACTTTAGGCTTTAAAAATTATTTCATAGCAGTCCATTCAAAAAGTAATTCACAAGTTAACAATGATTCCATCTATGAAGTGTTCCATTCATGGCACTTAAACTGGGTATTAAAGATAAGCTGTCACAACAGGCAAAATTAATTTCACAAAAAAGTGTGCAAATATATATTCTGTGCACACAAATGTCATGATGCAGTGAGTTTTTGTTTTTGAAGAATGCACATCTGGAATGCACTTTTTATTCTACAGTGGTAAATTAAAGTTATCGAAACAATATACAGTACTATACTAACTTTGTAATCCTACTTATTGCACCAATGAAACAAGGCTAACTTTTATCTAAACTAAAAGCAGATTGAGGTGTCATATGGAAACAAACTTGTAAGGAAGAAAAACAGTGATCTAGATGTAAAAAACAAATCTACCAAAGATGACATTCCAACCTTTCTCAGTAATTTATCCAAGACCATACATGCAGTACTTACAATGAGTAAAAGCATTACAATAAGTAAAAGCAATCTCCTTACATAAAAGACAAGCATGCACAAAAGAGATGATTTTTCTGTATTCTTATAAATCCTTTAACCAGCAAAAGTATTTAAATAAACTGGGACGTTTCTTTGCCTGCAGAGTTGTACGCTATCTCCGACCTACGCCAATTCAAAGGGCTATATACTTTCTTCAAAATTTAACAAGTTCGTGACAACCATCCAACCCTTTTTATATCAACAACATTGTTTACATCTTTTTAAAAGTCTTGTCCACAGACCCAAAGGTAAATTAATAAACACATTAGGAGAAAAATAATCTTTATTACAATTCTGTGTATATGAACCTGTTTTGTTGTTTTTTGCAAGAATGAGGAATAGAGCTCCAGTTTCTGGGGCCTTGACTAATCCAATAACTGGTTGGTTTGGTGACTACCTTAACCCCAGAGTATGAAAAGAATATGCTAAACTAGTATGGCTATATAGCACTATGTTACAGAAGTTTCTAAGAGTTCCAAGATCTCCTATGAGATGTAAATATGGGACGTAAAATGAACATGTTCATCTACCCTAAAGGAATCTGATTCAGAATTTTATCAAGATATGGAATATACAGCAGGGAAGTCAAATTTCTGATCATTCCCAAAATTAAGGACATTCAACCAGTGATTGATAACTATATGGAACTGTAAAGGGAAGGCTTTAATTCCATTAAGTGACCTTGTGTTAACCTTGTATAGCCAATATGTAACTGTATTAAGGGTATTTCACCATTTCCTATTACAATTATAGGAGGGAGGTCATGGGAATAGAATATTTGCTGACATATAATTTGATGTTCGCAATACCAAGCACTCACTCCAATGATTGTGAATAGCATTATAAATGACTACAAATATCAGTTAGGAATGGGTTTCTAGGTGATGAGACATGTACAAATGACATCAGTTATCAGTGGCATCTACTAGGTCATTGGAGGTCACATTAATATAACAGAGTACCCAGCAAAACTTGCCTATCTCATACCTGCTAGAGTAGAAATGCAACAAACATTGAATTTGCGTCTCTATTAAATGAGAAATATTAGGTCTGAAGCCATTAATCATTAATAAAACACAAAAAAATTATTTTTTATCCTGGATAGCATGTGCTTTCTAATTGCTTGTACCTTCAGAATAAATGGCTACCATTCCTCCTGAAACTTCACTTTGACTTTTGCATTAGACAGCTTAGGGAAGATGTCTTGAAGCATTCTTGAAGGCTGCTAACTTTATTTAGAGCATTAATACTTTGCCATGGCTTTAACTAAGGAGTCAGAAGCCTTCAAGCAGTGTCATGATTGTGGGTCATGTTGCAAAGTTATGATTAGTTAATCATAACTTTTCAAAGTTAAGAAAAGTTAAGCCAAATTGTAAGGTCGTGAATGTGCACGGGGGCCATGTTGTATAGCAAATAAAGTGCAAGATGTTACAAAGTAGCAAGGACTAAAAATAGAAAGTTGCAAGTGAGTGAAGTACAAAGAGTAAAAAAATCAAAATAGATCGTACAGAGAAAAACGTCAAAAAGTATCATTCAGTGAGCACTTTTTTTCTCTCCTGTATATTGTATAGCATGTAGAATGTTTCACTATATATGACGTATAAATTGAAGCTAAGAGGAATAACAAATAAATGGTAAATAGAGCGTTAGAGCAATAGTCACATTACAATTGATACGATTGATCAATTGTTTCTCCTAAGCCGTCTGAAGCAAGGTCAAAGAGGAGGAAGGGGAATAACAACCATTTCTCTACTTTGAGGCATAAGCAATTATAAAACTCTTATTACCCAGGGACAAAAGTTATTATATTGCATAAACAATAATTCATGAAAGCAACTGCCTTCGTGCACATAAAAAGAGCATGAAGTCTTGTAGTAAAAATTCTTGTCTGAGGGAAGGCAGCACATAAGTCATTTGATTACATGTAATCATGATGACAGCACATGTACAACAAGATAATACCCTCACTAGATTTAAAACCATTGTAAAGTGAGAAATATTGCTACTGTTTGTGAAAAATGTTCATGTAAAAAGTGTTTAGGACAATGGGGTAAAATGCTTTTACTGTATGGGTTAAGGCTTTAAAAATATAATTATCAGGATTTTCCCCTTTGTAGTAGTGTAGAATAGATGTGGACACATCACAAATATTCATAAAGGCTCCTGTAAGCGTGCTATTCTCGCAGCTAAAGATTATAAAACAGCAATATGATACACGTGATGTTCAGTACAGGTACATCGGTTACAGTATGACACACGCACCATATCATCCTTGTATACAAATTGACTGACAAAGGACTAAAGATGACAATCAATTCCGAACCGAATTAACCATCTAATAAGGAAAAATTCAACGCTGCATGCAGTAATGTTAACTTAAAGGGAGCAGAATAAACCAGTTTGAAAAAAGTCCAAAATATTAATGGCAATTATGAAGTGGCAAAATGACCAGTTAAATAAAAGAATGCAATCGAGTTCAAGTACTACATACCCAGGTTGTGTCATACATTTTCTCCAGGTCAAAGAGGATCTCAACTGCTATAAGCAACATTAAAAGAAGAGAAAACAGGGGGGGGGGGGAGAAGAGAAAAAAAAGAGCATTCTTGAACATAAGGTTCTTTCACAGTAGGTACAATCACACCGAGGATTGCTTTAACCCTTAAACCGCTCAATATTTTGAGCCTGGAAACGAAAAACATTCAAATTATGTAAAATAATGTTAAATTTCCAATTTATTGGCTTCAGCATCGTGAAGCTTTCATTAAAATATTTTCAGAAATTGATTTTAGACAAATTTTTAAAAAGAACGTTTTGTTGACAAGGAGAACAGCTCCTACTGACTGGAACTTAGGGATAACGCAGCAATAAAGAGATGCAAGCACCTGTCCAACCCTCAAAGAAGAAGAATAGTAGTAAGAAGTGTCCACAAAGTGGATATGCAACTGGTGCCTTTATAGCATGGCTGAGTAATACATAACAAATAATAATGAGTAAGTATGTTATTATGCTTATTTTGTTATCATAAATACATTGCCCAATATTAATATATGTTACTTTCATCGATGTCCATAAAATATTTTTTTTAGGGGAACTTTTTTTTTTTTTTTTTTAATTTATTTTGTCTAAATTTGTCACATATTTCAAATGCCACATTGACGATTTTTCTTACAGTAAACTACTGATTTTAATCCTCATTTAATTCAATTATAAAATTATTTAATTTTCTTGTTTTTCAAGTTATGTTATCATTTAGACAAAGTTGGAGCATTTGCCTAGTTGATTATGCAAAAAAAATTGGAAAGTGTTTGTGTAAGTTTGAAAAACTTTAGTTGTCAAATCTTGTATGTATGTTTTGCACGGATTAAGGGTTAAGAAGCACAAATATACATGAAAAAAGTACTGGAAATGCTAAAGCATGTGGCAGACCACTATGAGGTGCTCCATTACCAATGTGGAATATGGTCTATCAATGAAAAAAAGGGAATTCCCTAAAATTATATCAGTCATGTTCACATAAGCAAATGAAAGCAATTATCTCCCATCGATTTCTTAAAACATCTACACATGATAGTGCAAATAGATCCTTTAGTAATACAATTTTGGCATAAATAATAAGCATTGCAAGAAAAGTAAAAACAATATTAATGTTCAATAGGAGTTAAGGAGAACATTTTCTAACCACAATTCCATTACAAGATGCACACCATATTGTCGAGCAAGTTTGTTTAGTTATGGAACATGCAAAACATATCACTAAGTTAAAGTCAACTTACCACCAAATGGGAAAATAAATTGCTATTACAGTAACTGATTTATATCTGCCACACAGATCCTGATAATTTGACTGCACAAATGATTTATCAGAACAGTTCAAATAATTTACAGACTGCAGATATTGTATTTTACAACAATCTTTTTGACCATTTTCATGAAAATTATTTGCCTCTTTTTGGTGACTTATCCAGAATATTATGTGTCATGTATCATGATGGAAATGCTGCACACTGATACTTGGTCTAACTTGGACTTTAGTATATTTTGGTCACTGATCCAGAACATATCCAGGTCTCAGCCAGAGATATTTGACTTAATGGACAGTTGAGCGACAGATAACAGATTAGCTACTGTAAAATGTTTACAAGACATGATTCCCATACACCTCAAGCTTCCCTAGTTATGCATGCATTGTCTATATTATAAAGTGCACTATAATGAAAATCTACAGTCACTTAGCAGCTAGTGTTTTGAGTCTGGAAATGGGAATACACATTCAATGGTACACGTTTACACACTAAAAGCTATATTACCCAGCAACTACCAGGCCTAATCATTACTGGAAAAAGGAAACTAATATTTATCTACCAACACTAATTTAGAAATTTTTTAGTAATCAGCCTTATTGAATTACTGATTCAGCATAATAAATGCTGATCATCTAGAGCCGTTAGAATTCACGAACATTTTTACATTCAAACAACTTCTCACCCTTCTCCAATCATTTACAAATGTAATTTTTTACATTTTACTCATTTGCTAGTGTTTTTTGATTTTGTAACTGCAGGGAGTGGGTAATAACTAATGCTAAAGTTAGCATAGATAATTAATACAAATCTTAGTAATGATGGATGTCAAGTGAAGCTGCCAGAAGGAATGGTGTTAACCAATGGTATTAAACAAGAGCACTGTCAGAACTTTCCAGAAGCTCAGTATTCCCAGACATGTTGGATGCAATCACACAGATGCTGTCTAAAATATATATTTATGCTGGTTGCAAGAGTTTGCCAGAGAGAAAAGTTAAAAGCATTCATTTAATGAGTAAATAGAAATTCTACTTAGGGCTAAACCAGCATTAATTTTTTATGTAGCGCATACCTAGTACGTCCATATATTACTACCGAATACTACTTTTGAGATTTATGAATGCATGATCTTTACACTGCAAATACATCCTCCATGGAATGAGTACAACATAAACAAAAAAATGGGGCTGGACATTTTAAGTCCCACCCTCATTCCCCCCAAAAAACAAAAATGTTCTTACCTGAGCATGGAACATGACTTTGAGCCTATATCTTGACAACCATGTTGGATTCCACAGACCAGGTAAGGAAGGAAGCGCAAAATGGAACCCTTATCCACTATAGACCCACTCACACCCTGGGCTACCTTAATACCATCACCCTCCCTGCAAGGCAATGAAAATATTGTTCTTAATTAAGAATGACAAAACATTTATACAAGAAAAACTTAAATAGCCTTAATGTAAAATATAAATAACCACTTTGGAATTAAAAACATATAAACTGTACAATATTTAAAGGTTTTTTGGAATTCAAAGTAATTGGAGTAAATGAAATAATTTACCAAGTATGAAACAACATGACAAAGAATACTTTATGTGAAAGTGGTAAAGGGATCCAAGTCAACTAGATCAAATTATGACATGCCATGAAATATAAATCTGAATCTGACTTAGCCAAGTAAGTCCTGATAATGGATGCATAATGTACACACTACATTGTTATTTTATATATACAGTGCTTGCTTTCTCTAGTACACAACATGATAGCAAACACAAACAGATACATACAATTATAAACTGTCAATCTCATATTCCCTGCCACTTTATCCTTATCTTTTGGTTTTACATCCTTCCAACTCAATAAGTTTATTATGTACAACTGTATTAACACTTTCGCGCTTTAGATTAGAGATAACTCGTCGCCGTTTTCTCTTACGATTCCGCATAACAGCCGAGTTTTCTCGTCCATCGAAAAAATATTTCTATAAATTCCATTTTTTAACCGAAATGGATGGGGATACTTTTGTTTTGTAGGGAATTTATTTGCGAATGTTTTGGTACCAGAATGAATATTATATCACATAAACTTCTATGAGTAAAAAAAAAAATACACAAAGTATGTTTGGGGGTGTGGCGAGCGTGTGGCAGTGGGTTCCCTTTAGCCGTTGATATATCCAACACGTGGGAAATATTTGTATGTGTTATGTATATGTCTGTGTAGGGAATTTTACTGCGATCACTGTCATACAAATTATAAAATGTTTCAACAAGTATAAACATGACAAACATCAAACGAACGAAAACAATGCGTTCGTTTCTGCCGCGAACGCATACTGAGCGACGTGGTTCTATATTTGGCGCTTCTCTTACACATGCTTTGTACAAATGTTATACAGTTCATCTTATAGAAAATTTTATTGCGAACACATTGGTATAAAAAAGAAATACGTACATAGAAAAGTAGGGTCAGGAAACGTATAAACTTTCCAAGCATGATTTCCCCCCTGTGTTTTCGCCAGTGCGCTCGCGGCTAACTACTCTCCACTTCACACACTCTTGCGGGTGGGCAATTACCTATATTAAACATTCATATGCATATGTCCGTGTAGAGAATTTTATTGCGATTCCAATGATACCAAAATTAGCGATGTAGGACAACTGTAGGCTTCGCAACCATTAAGAGAGTGGAAACATTTTGTTGCTGTTTGGCGCTCTCGGCGAGTGATCTGCATAGTTTTTTATTTGGTGTTGATACTCCTTATGCTTGGGCGGCATTTTATAGGTATGCTCTTATAGACAATTTCATTGCGAACACAGTGATACCAAATTTAAATACGTGCGCCTTCAATTATTGTCAGGACAGTCAAAAGAGTGTACACTTTTCGGTCTTACCGCGTAGGCGCGCGAAGTGCCGAAAGCATCTGGGGTATTGTTTTTTTTTTTGAGCGCTGAGAGCGCAAAAGTGTTAACTTAAGTTCTTAATTAAAGAACAAAAAAAAAATAATGAGACCCAAGTACAGTACTGTATCTGTTTATTTAGAAGTATGCAACTATTTTCAGTTTGTGAAAGCCTTTACCAGTCAAAATGGCAAAGCATTAAATAAATTCCCTACAAGTTAAACTGCCTGCTTGATATTATCCTCCAGAGTAAGAAATGGGAAAGATATTATGACTGAATAATTCTACCCATCCCCAAATCATCAAGTTATGTAACAAGGTCTGGAAATTAATTTCTCATATTTAGTTGACTTTAGCAGTTCCTTTGTGAACTGATAGTGCAAAAACAGTCATAACATGTGTGTGTGGGGGGGGAGGGGGGGAAAGAAGCTGCTTGCTCAAAGCCTGTGTGCTCTACAAATCTCTCAATGCCAAGCCTGCAACAAAAATTGAATATCTGAGCATTCTTCGGATCAGGTTTATACTGAAGAACAAAATTTGCTCATGCACAAAATATGATGATTGACCAGAGTTAATTTTAAAATAAAGCTTCTGAATTTTTTATTTTTGCAATAAGTCAAATAAGACTGTTGGAGTGAACAAACTGAAGACTAAGCCGTCTTGTATTGATAAAATTAAAGTAAATCTTGTAACACCCCTACGTTAGCAGTGTTAATAAATGCAATAACTTATCTAAATCAAACAAAATATTAAGCATAGGGAATGGAAAATGATAACATACATTATCAATATTGGCGTCTAAAATAAATCTTATGCTACATTATATACTGGACTTAATGTTGTGCTGAAGTAAATATACTGTACTGTAACATTGGCAGATTTCTATGCAAACATTTTATCATTGAAAATATAGTTCTCCCAACCACATCAGATGTCTCTTAAATTCATGGCAACTTGGGCAACTTCATGTATTTGGGAAAGCCTTAACAAATAACCAATAATGCAAAAAATCTCGTCAGTGGGTGAGAGCAATCATTAATGACTAGTGTGCACATGGATTATTTATTCACAATCAAATAATAGCTAGAAAGCATAATTTCCTAAATGTACGATTCTTACATCAAATACAGTAAATTTTGTACATCAAAACTGTATAAAAGAACATCAGGCAAAAAAAAAAAAAAAAAATGAAACCTAAAATTACGTGATACAGTATAAAGCAATGCTTGTACAGGGAGATGTTTGCTTGAGAGGCATCAATGTGTGGTACCACAAAATACATTGGCAACTGCTCTACAGGTTTCTCTTACCCCCCAAAATATACGAAACAGTTTGGACTGTGCGCCACTGATGAAGGATTAGCCGAGCCCGATGGCTTTTTGCATGCACAGTTGAACCCGCTTTGTGTGCCCCTGAGCACAACAGGAGGTTAGATACAGTGCCAAGAAACATTCCCTGACAACATGCAATTTCTGCCAATGTACACCAAAATTTCTAACATCTGCAGAAGCTAATAACACTGATAGCACTCAAATGTAAATATAAAGTTAATATAACATTTATGCATACTAAAAGTATTTAAACCAAGATAAACTATCTTTTAATTTTTATAAATTAAACAAAATTCCTTTATAAATACTTATGGTGATAATATTTATTAATTGCAATATTGTAATAAATAAAAGATAATATTAATGTCGTTTAGGACGATTATATTGTATAAAAGCATAACCAAAGTTAAGAATGTCAAATTAATACATTGCCCACAACCTGTATACATGTGTGTAGAAGTGAAAATTTGAATGACTTGCAGGATATCTATTTACAGCCACGAGTAGATACAATAAACATCAAAAGGGTTGCGAGTCATCACACTAAACAATTAATATGTAAAAGATGGGCCCTGGAGCTGGGGCTCATTACTTTAAAATATGAATTGAGAATGTAATCAAAATTTATAAGCAAGAACTTAAATCTGCAACAGCGAGAACAAGTAAAATTAAAATTAGAAAAATGCAGCAAATTTTATGTAAATTCTCTTTTGAAGAGTTAAATGGATTGGAAACTTCAAAATGGCACATGACAAGACTTTAGGGATGAAAGAACCACCAGATGCATCTCTCATCTTGTAACTGCCCTCAACCCCTCCACCCCTCTCTCTCTCACTCAACAAATTATTGCATTGTTGCTTAAATGAATTAGAAATAGATAACATTCACAATACATTTAAATCTGCAAAATTATTTCCTCACAGCACACCATGTATCACTATCATCCTCCTCATGGCCAATTATAATTACCCTTAAAACAATAATTCTAAACTTCTTGGGATAATACTAATCTCTTTACTACTACAAAATTTACGGTACAGGTACTTGTTAATTTGCTTATCTCACCGAGTTTGTGATCACAACCCTTTCAAAATAGAACTTCCCTTACGCACCACAAGTCAAAGACCACCCCACCTCTTCCTTTCTCAGGGAGTCTTCTCAACCTCTACCCCTCTAATTTACTCTCACTTTCTCTTATAATCCCAACCCATGAGGATCAACTTCAAAATTATCATCATAATATGAAAAATTGGTAATCTTTACATTGTTCACTTCTTTCTTTAAATGCAAATAAATGTAGAATTCTAAGCCTATGGAAAAATAATAAAATTATCGAACGCCATCTAAACAATACTGAAATTACCGTACCTAAATACAAACTCTGGGTGTTACGGTTAGAATCTAAAACCAATAAAATTAATGTATACATTCAAAACAAGACAGTAATTGGTAATAGGATTCATAAGAAGCATTAGAAATCTAATATTCATTATTCATCAATTTCTAGCCATCTTATGCATATTATTCATAGAGAAAATTTGTAGGAGCCGTGATGTGAATTCTAACCTATGAGGTGGGTAGTCCCACGCACACGCCCGAGACAATCAAGCCCCGACATGGTCAAAAAGATTGCAACCTGGAGTTCGCTAAACACACGAGGGTTTCCCCGAGGATTTTCACACAATCCCCCATGCACTCTGGCTGTCATCGAGGAAAGAACAGCAGAATTCCAGGTTGCAATCCTTTTGACCATATCGTGGCATGGTTGTCTGGGGCGTGTGCGAGGGATTACCCACCCATAGGTCCGAATCCTCATCACGGTTCCTAGGGATTTTCTTAATATGAATATGATGGCTAACAATAAATGAATAATGAATAAAATTAGATTTCTAATGCTTCTTATGGATCCTAGTACCAATTACTAATGTGCCTTGTTTTGAATATGTCAATATTAATGTATTAATATTGTCCTTAATATTAATGTCCTTATTGTTCATGACAGTCCAATTATCAAATAGTTTTGTAACACTTCCTTTCGTACGATACACTGTGCTTGCCTTTTCACCCAATCAAAATCAGACAGACTTGTGACAGTTTCTTGTGATTTGCCAAGCATGACTGTCATGCTCACATTAACAGAGTCCATAAAGCACTGACTAGATGACTGTCATAATACTCTTGATGCATTATACATCAAGACTTATAATTTTCTTAAGGATTCTAAAAGACAGACTAATTTATGCAATTTTTAGCTCTTAGTTAATTACATATGGAAACAAAATTCAGAAATGCCTGTATCCTACTTATAATTTATGTAATAATTATTTGTGTATTAAAATGATTTATGAAAGGGGGAAAAGACTTATAAAATAGTAAAATAATGTCATACATGCTCAATATTATCAAACATCAAATTCTAAACTATCAAAACATAAAAGTAAATACACAATAATAGTAAATACCGAATGCATTACATTTACATAAAACTACAATAAAAAAATTATCACAGTAACTAAATAAAAGCTGAAACAGAGGAGTTTAATGATTAACAATAGTAAGTATAGTGCAAAATCGGTGGACAGTTAAATTCACACACTACATACATACCCATGGAAGTAGCGGTCAGCTGCAGATCCTTGTGTATCTTTGCGTTCCATTGCTTCCAGTGAGCCCATGCCTCGATACTTCTTCAAACGAACACCATTGCTGAAGAAATATTCACCAGGCGCCTCCGAAGTTCCAGCTAGCATTGACCCCATCATCACTAAAATGTGAAGTATAACCAAGAAAGAGATTAATATATAGTATCAAATATATATTGCAGTTTTTTAATCTAATGACAGGTCACCCCCCCCCCTTCAAGTGTAATCCTGATCAATTACATTGTAGAACAAAGTATTATACTATATGGAGTGGTGCAGTGCTGCCAGAGCTCACCAGAGCACCGCTCCTGTGAACACTTTGTCCATTTATGCGAGACGAGTGTATGAGAAAATTGCCAACCTACTGCTTTGGATACGAATATTCAGCAGTAATGTTCATGGCTTTAGCTGTCATTCAATACAGGTATTCTTTATTCATGCAATATTAAATTTATTATTAAATACTTGGCAGGTAAAATGACAAAACTGCTATGCACACTTTACATAATTTAGTGCTTCTTGGGGTGGTTCTAGCCTTCTTTTAACTTCTTAAAATTTATAAATGCATGATTGATGTTCGTTTGATAATTATATTTTTATGATAGTTGAGTACAAACATGAAATACAGTATTTAATCATGTGACATACATAGAAACTGGACACGAAATGACAGGCTTTTTCAGGCTCACTAGAGCTCTGGCACCTATAAAATTGGCACTGCACCCCCTGACTATGTCTGAAATGGTATAAAAAGCATGAGAGAATACAGAAGAGGTGACTACAGGAGGGTTTAGGACTTACTGCAGAATGTTCAATAGAAGACTGAAATGGAAGGAAAGTCAGCAAACAAGATAATCAAACAAATGCAAAGCACTGGACCAGTTCATATTTTTTAGGAAGGAAGTGGACAAAATGAGAACAGCAAACCCATGGTTCATCAGTGTAAGGAGGAAAAGGAGAAGACAAAAAAGGCATGGGAGAAGTTTAGGGAGGCACTTAAACCTTTCAGAGTGGCTATGGATAAATGGTCATACCTTTCTATGTACAAAAAAAAAAAAAAAAAATAATTTGTAAGTTAGTAAGAAAATAAGTTTTCTTTAATTTGTAAGAAAAACATGAAAATAAGTGAATATTGAATATTTAGAGTTTCACTGGGTGCAAGCGCTCTGCAAGACTGCATCTGGCACTTGTCAACGCCTGGGGCTTGACTTTGCTGACACTTCCCATTTTATTTTTGGAGGTTTTACTGGTTCATCACTTTTTATTTATTTACATCCACAGAGCTATTATATCCATCCATGCATCATGTATGTAAAACTCAAGACCGTAATTGTTTAAATCGGCATATGACGATGACTATTTCCCTAGTAACATTCACGAAAATATCCGCATTCGTACCATGAAATGGTGGTAGGATTTTTGTCATGGGGTCAAGGTAAACTCCATTACATCCACAGACCTATTATATCCATATTTGTATCATACGTGTAAAAACCAGACAATAATTGTTTAAAGTTTCTTCAGGGGTATCTTTGGCTATATTATATCCTTTAACTCCAATATTTTTATTGTTATGTATACAAGATTTTTAGGAACCTGTTGCCTCCATTAAGTGCCTTAACCCTTAGGCTGTGGACATCGTCAATTGTTGAGCCGAAGCTCAACCCCCCACAAGCACAACTAGGCGAATAAGGTAGGCATGGAGGGAAATAGTAGTATAAAACAAAAAGTACAGTATGTCTAACCTTCACTCAGAGCAATCCAGCTATCTCACATCCATTATATTTTTAGGAATTTGTTCCATTAATCAACAATTCTATTTCTAAAAATAATATTTACCCATGCCTTTCCTTAATCTAAATTTTGCAATGTGTATTCATTATTTCATGTTCATTTAGTGCTGATAATTTTAACACCTTATTTAATACTGTGTACCTTTTTGTTATACTTTCTCGTCCTTTTAGACACTTCAGTCATGTCTTACCTTACTCTTGAAAAGATAAATTAAGCTTTCTTGATAAATTGGAAAATTGGAAGGGTAATAGGGTTAGAGGCAAAGTAAATATTAGTGGTACAGTATTTTCAAAGAGTGCGATGATCAGGAAAGGCAAATAAATTGGGAACAAAATAGCCAGCAGCTGGAGTATAAAGAGCACCACCTCACTTTTCTGTAGGCACTGTTAATTAAGCAAGCACAGCCATTAATTTCAGGACAAGACAAAAACACCTCTTCAGTGTACCAAGACTGACAACATGTATCCAAGAAATACCATGCATATAAAGAAACCCAATATATGGAACAAGCTCACAAATGACAACCAATTAATTGCAGTCACACAATTGAGCTGCTGGGGAGCATGACTTAATTTGCGGGGTTTAGGTGTTCACTATTTCAAGTTTACCAGCTTCCAAAATAAAATATGAATTTTACATAGATAAATGCAAAGTTTAGTAGGCCATGTGTAAATAACACTTAAGCAGCAAAACTTTACAGCTTGCTGCTACTCTACATCCTTTTCAGTAATTAAAACTAAATACACATCTTAAAAATTGTGTAAATATATTGTACCCTAACAAGAATATTTTTAGCCCTACTCATAACCTTCATTCAATTTAAAATATTGTATATATAAACAAGAACAAATATATACTGACCTGTAGATGCCCCAAGTGCCAAAGCCTTTATAATATGGCCAACAGATGATATTCCACCATCTGCAACAACAGGCACACCAAATCGTCTTGCATATTCTGCAACCTGAAACATTTATGTATTCTAGTCATAATTAGCATCAGATAATGCTTTATTAAAAGCAAAACCTAACTTTAAATTAAAACCCCAGTGAAGGTAATGACAACTTTACAAAATATGTAAAAGAAAAGTTTTAATTGAACAATCACATTTCAGAGTGAGAACTATTTAATAGTAAAAAACTACACTAAATTGAGTAAATCTAAATAAATATGCACTGCCATAATTAAAAGAACATATATAAACCACTATACAGCCCAAATCATGCCAGAGTAAAAGCAGCAGTAAAATATGTACCGAGAAAAGTGCCCATTCCCTGTGTAAAGTGCCCTTTTAACCCCATTCAGACAGTACAGATATTTTAAATAATACAATCAATTTAGCTTGGATTAACCTTTGTGAGTTAGTTACAATGCCTGTTCTATCTGAATTCTAACTAATACACTAACCCCCCAGCTGTGGGAATTGTGTTGGAAATTAAATTACTTATACAGTCCACTCACTACAAATAAAATATATACTGTATAAACTTAGCCACATAATCCCACACTTGGAACAGGGGACACTGGACCCACTGGGCATCTCCCTTTGCACCATTAGAGAGATGGAGGCAACTTAACTGCCGCCTAGCAGCAACTGTTAACGAGGGAATTGGGTACTTTGCTCGACTTAGGTATGTAGCAGTCTCGTTTTATAGGATTTGTTATCTTGACAATTGTCAGTTTTGGCTCATCCACCTTTTTCGTGACAGTTTGTTAAGATTATTTCATATTCCCTGTTCCTTGAGCTTCTATAGAAGTGGTCAAGTTTTGGTCTCTGGTTCCATGTAGGATTATGATAAACTCGAAAGAGCCTGAAGTGGACTGAATTGAGCAAGGCTATCCAGGTAGCTAGTAACCAGGAGCTACCATAGGAGCTTTCCCTGAAACAGTTGAGCAGACACTATACAGTAATCTACAGAAGTCTGTGCATATACAGACACTACAAATACAGGTAGTGTCTGTACAAACTACCATCCTATTTAATACAGGTAACAGAAATTAGTGAACTAAATATATATACATGTCAATAAATTAACTGGCAATAATGTACAAATGAAAATACAGTACATATATGAAATATTAACAAGTGTTTTACCTTGTACACTGCTGTGGCTTGGGGCCTACCCACGGCCATCACTTCTTGTGTTATACATATGGAGCCTGACCCCATGCCCACACGCAGACCATCCACACCAGCATCTATTAGATTCTTGGCCTGAGCAGCTGTTACCACTGCGAAGAAATGAAAAGGCTGCTATTACACTACTCTACTTACAGATTCAATTCATAAAGGCTCCAATTTTTTTTTATCAGATTAAGATGCACGAAATTTAAAGTAAAACATTCTTTCCTTTATTATAATCTTATTTAAATGTTCCATTCATTGTTCCATTAAATGTTCTTATTTAAATGTTGTTGGACAAAACGCAAATAGTTTCTCACCATTTCCACCAATAATCTGCAGCTCTGGATATGTAGATTTTATATATCGTATTAAATTAATCTGATAAATTGAGTTTCCTTGAGAAGAATCCTGGAAAGAGAATTCACAACCACTAAATTGACTAATTAAAATTCAAAAGGTTTGCCTATTACCATGGCAACTGTTAAATTCCTCAATTTTAGAAATATTAATGTTATTGGTTAAGACTTGCTCAAATTAATGCTAATTATCTTCATTTCATAAGATTTATGAAATGTTAATATTTTGTAGAAATCAAACTTTAAATTTTTATTTCTAACAATGGAAAATGTTAAATTTCATTTTTTAGGGCATCCCACCTTTGACCTAGTAGTTTTAATTTCTAATATGCAGAAAATTAATCTAGTCCAAGTTACAACTTGATCTTTAAGATTGATTGCAACAGCTTTTACAAACTTCAAGGTAAACTCTGGAGCCTGAGATACCTCAAAGTAAAATCTAACCATTGCAAATGTAGATTTATCTTTTAATTTTTTCAAACTGCTCCTAATAAAATTGACATTTAATTTCAACAATAACAATGCTTTTTCTTACTAGGACCACAACATCAACTCCAGCATTGACCAGTAATTCAAGTCTGTGTTTGTCCGAGTCTCTTGTTCCAATGGCTGCCCCAACAAGTAGCTGGTTATTGGCATCATACGAGGCATTTGGGAAGTTTCGAGATTTTTTAAGATCTGTGCGTGCTATCAGTGCCACCAGCTCGCCATGCTCATTAGTTATAGGTAATTTACCTGAAAAGTGAGTAAATTTTGCATCATAATTAAAAAAAAATGGATACAAATGACTTGCCACTCAAACTTGTCTATCATTTTACCAATATACACACAAACCTATATTTAAAGCAGTAATAATTTTTGTAGATAATTCAGAAAATTAAGTATCCTCCACATTTTAAGTAGAATCCATTCCAAATAAACATCACAATTTCCTCCATTTTACCCTTCTTAGAGCGTTGAAGAATCTCATTTGCCTTATCAAGGCTGACTCCTGCTGGAGCAGTGACAAGATCATCGAACGGGGTCATAATTTCTGAAAGCAGTTTGTCAGAGTTTGGTTCTAGGAAGTCTATGTCGCGAGATGTAACAATGCCCAGCAATCTGGTGCCCATCTTGCCATCCTCTGTGATTGGGATGCCGCCAAACCCGTGTTTTTTTTTTACGTCAAATACATCAGATACCTGCATAAAATTAATACATTTGAGTACAGTACTTTATTCAGAAAATAATTATTTAGAAAGTTAAATCAAATAAAAGCTTCACACAGAAAATTGTAATACATAAGGCATCACAGACAAAAATATGCCAAAACAAACATTAACAGTTACCCTATGCTGTGGCGTGAGGCAGACAGGATCTCGAATGAATCCGTGTTTGTATTTCTTAACCTTCATTACTTCCTGAGCATGAAACTCTGGAGAACAGTTGTGGTGAATGAAACCTATGCCACCACAAAGCTGAAATAAACATGGTTGAAAATATGTAATCTTGATTTAGGCTAGTTAACTTACATATCAAGAAAGTTTGTAACAGTGAAAAAATGGGAAAATATATTTGTACAATATTAGAAAACATCAGAGCAAAATACCAAACACCTTCAAAATCGTCAAAAACACGTGCTTCTTAATCACAGCTATTGAAGATGGGTATCCCTGGTCCCTTATACCATGAAGATCTCCATGCAAATAAGACCATGAAAAGTCTTAAAATTTAAAATCCTAGCCATCTTATGATACCAACAATATTAAATACCCAGAGCCTTTGCAGCTTCCTTTTCATACAATGCCCCATAATATAAGCAGTTTAGAAGGCCTATCTTCATACCTTTATGGACTAATCTATCTCATTTTGGACGAGCCTTGATAGTATTTTGCTCATCCTGCACATTTATTAACAATGCCATAATATTGAGTGAACAAAAGCTTAATATTTGTCCACTTGGCAAAATATCAAAACACTACATTGTATAAGAAAAAATATAATACAAATTACCTTTTAATTAGGAATCTTTTTACCTCTCAGAACTAATAAAACACCTATACACAAAATAAATAAGGTTGATTTCACAATGAATGTTAAAAACAGTTATCCACAGGTAAATCGACTTTAAAATATACATTACTACTGTATTAATTAATTGTGGACCATTATTAAGTAAACATGTATGATCTTTAATGAAAATTGTTAAATGGAAAGAAATATTTTGTCGTGTTCTAGTTGTCGTATCAAAACGATGGTAGAAGCTGCCGACAGGTCCCAGGATTGTACCCCAGAATCAAATACAGTACCAAGTTCCAGTTGCAAAGGCAAGAAACCTAACCTAACCATGTCCATCCCGGACAAATTAACTACGTACACCAGTTTTATTAAGACACCTGACAATTTGTCAAAATGCAAATCTGTGGTTTATAGGATGATAATTAACACTGTATTAAGACATTTTAGTTTTTATGGAAATAAGCTTTCCAACAATGATAATTCCAGGCTGGATTGGATATTGTATAGCACTGCATCAATCCAGTATTACCTAGCTGGGAAATTTTGAAAGGCTACTGCTATTCCTATGCAGACTAAGAATAAATCTATACTGTACTGCACTTAAGCCAAAAGATTGTTGTATTAGAGTGAATTAGCTCAGAAAAAAGTGGAACCTTTAACCAAATTACAACAAAAGGTTCAAATGTAGCTCAATTTAATTTTATTTAACAATACAGGTCTTGTAAGCATAAACTACAATTATAACAAGATGTGTATACATACAGCCATGGCTATAGCCATTTCAGACTCTGTGACAGTGTCCATTGGGGATGATACTAAGGGTGCCTTCAGACTAATCTTCTTTGACAATGCTGATGTCAAGTCCTAGAAAAAGAAAAGAAAAGATTTAATTATTCAAAATGGAGAATACGAGATCAGATGGAAGCATGAAACAAAAATTTTGACTATAATGAACAGTTGAGAAAGGAGTGGTAAATAAAGGGTGCAGAATGAAGCAAAACATGGCGATTGAGCAAGTACAATAAGATAGAGAAAGGGAGGAGATAAAGCTGAGATATTAAAAGGAAGCACATGCAACAAAATGTGGGAGGACCACTTTTCATTGGTCAGAAGTGAAAAAATGCAGTTCAGGAGGCTACATAAAACTGTTTAGGAAAGAATCTGGCATTTGGACATGTGAAATTTATAAATATTTAATTATCATGGAAAAAAAATCTTAAGAAATTGTCTATAGTCTTGTATGGAAGTGTGAAAACCCAGTTTCTTAAATAAAATACCCATTATGAAGGTGTACAGTAGAAATTCTATACACTATTATGAAATCTCAAAGTTATATTATTAGATAAAAAAACCTTGATATTTTAGTGATATAATGGAATTAATATACCAACAGGAAGAAAATGGGAAGAGGTGGCAAGTCTCAACATAAGCTTCATGTGCCTACAGTACATTAGAGGTGATAAAGCTATATCCCTGAGGATAAGGCATTTTACTAATACAAATAGTCAAAGTTCCCCTAAAAAATTATGCAAATATGTTTATTTCTATTATAAGAGTAGGGACTACGTTGGTTACTTGAAAAATATATAATTAGAAATTAGTCTAAGGTGCTGCCATCTGTGGCTGAGGTTGACATCAACCAATTTCCTCCAAAATTGGCACTTTACAGATAGGCTTATGTACAGTCAGGAGTACAAGTTTCATGCAAATTGTCCGATAAACAAAAAAAAAAAAAAACTTTGGATAAAACTATTAAATTTGTTAATATATGCTATCGTGATAGCTGAGTCAGACATGATTTCAGTTGACACTTGTGTTTGATAATTTTTTACCATTTTTGAAAATTTGACAATTCAATATTTTTTTTCTCCCTTCCTATTTATGCTACGATGCTGAGACTTGGACCAGATGAAACCCTTTTCATATACGTCAAAAAAAAGTTTAATTGAAATCGAACTAGTTTTCATTTAGGTAGCAAGGGCACCAATAATTTCCTGCACATTACTAATAAAGTACAGTATTTATAGTGTGAATGAAACAAATGAAACACATTGGTTTTTCTTACCACTTCCTCTGCTGTGAAGTCAATAAAGCCCGGAAGTATAATGAAGTCACTGTTGAGAGAACACATTATTACAATTATATACTGTAATCTTAAGAGTAGCACTTTCTGAAATCAACAGCAACACTAAGGCTAGAAAATAAACTTGGTTGCTTAGAAAATATACCATAATTGAGCACAGAACAGTAGAGCACTATTCACTTAAACAGGTTTTATATCTACTGAAAGAAGTGTCATGAATGCTAAAGTTCCATCAATAGTTTTATACATTGCTGGAAATGGCAAATCTATCCATGATCATATATTATTCTGTTGCACTAAGTGGTTACATTATCAAGCAGTATTGAACCTTGCCAATGTTACCTCCAACTTTACAGGCTAATCGAGGATAGGCTAATCATCCAAAGAAACTGATAAGAATTAAACATCTAAAGAAAATTAAATCATGATGTCAATACACTGCCCCTTGGCAAGGCCTTAAAAAATAGGTTACTAGCAGCCTAACTAACACAGTAGTTCCCTACTGCTATCCCAATCAATTTTACACCTTTGCAATAATGCATAGGGTTACAACAATGAGTACTCTACCATATCATCCTTTGCTGATGACACTACGATTTTTACGAGAGTAGAAAACAGAGGACACAGCAAACCTCCAAACTGTGTAAATCAGGTCTTTCAATGTGCTACAGAAAATAATATGGTATTTAAGGAAGGCAAGTTCCAGCTTCTGTGCTATGGAAGCAATGAAAATATAAAAACAAAACCGCATACAAAATGTAGTCAAATCATACCACAGAACATAAAAAGCAATGTAAAGAATTTGGGTATAATCATGGCAGAAGACTCTACCTTTACAGAACACAAAGTAGCTACCACAACTGCAAGAAAAATGTCAGATTTGGATAACAAGAACCTTTGAAACAAGATGCAGTACCATAATGATACTTTTCAAGATGCTAGTGCTCTCTAGAGTGGAATACTGTTGCACAATAACGAAACGCTGCGCGTACTAGTGTCTTTACAAGACTGTAAATACCATACTATGTATCTCACAAAACTAATGTACCTTCTTGAATATAAATAAATAAATAAATAAATAAATAAATAACATCCCTTCTCCAAGTTGGAGAAATTCCAGACCTGGAGTATGTAGATCCTTTACTGCTAGAATCCATTTAATAAACCATCTAAATTACTAGGACCGACTCAAAAGCCTAAATCTGTATTCTTTAGAGCGCAGCGGCAGAGATACATAATTTACACACGAAACATATTTGAGGGGCTGGTCCCAAACCTGCACACAGAAATAACATCACATGAGACCAGAAAGCATGGCAGAATTCTCCCATTGAAATACAGATGCAATAGGTACTCAGAAAGAACTATCAATGACAGAGGCCTGAGACTGTTCAACACACATCCACTACACATAGGGCATAACTGGCCAACCCCTCAAGTGTCCAAGAGAACTCTATAAAGACCTCCAAAGCAAATCTGATCAACCTGGCTATGATTGATACATCAGGCAGAGTCCAACAACCTGGTTCACCAGACGACTAACTGTAGGCCTTGTCAGAGACCGGGCTATGGGAATTTAATACCCAAAGAAGGTATGTTGCCCACCAACAAAAATGGGAGGGGTCAAGACCCAAGCCCCGAGACGAGATTGGGGAGGAGGTCAAGACCCAAGCACCAGGAAAAGGGTGGTGATATGTTCAAGGCCCAAGCATCAGGAGCAGAGTAGGAAGAAGGTCAAGATCCATGCACCAGGAACAGTGGGGAAGGAGGACACGACCCAAGCACCAGGAACAGTGGGGAAGGAGGACACGACCCAAGCACCAGGAACAGTGGGGAAGGATGACACGACCCAAGCACCAGGAACAGTGGGGAAGGAGGACACGACCCAAGCACCAGGAACAGTGGGGAAGGAGGACACGACCCAAGCACCAGGAACAGTGGGGAAGGAGGACACGACCCAAGCACCAGGAACAGTGGGGGAGGAGGACACGACCCAAGCACCAGGAACAGTGGGGGAGGAGGACACGACCCAAGCACCAGGAACAGTGGGGGAGGAGGACACGACCCAAGCACCAGGAACAGTGGGGGAGGAGGACACGACCCAAGCACCAGGAACAGTGGGGAAGGAGGACACGACCCAAGCACCAGGAACAGTGGGGGAGGAGGACACGACCCAAGCACCAGGAACAGTGGGGGAGGAGGACACGACCCAAGCACCAGGAACAGTGGGGAAGGAGGACACGACCCAAGCACCAGGAACAGTGGGGGAGGAGGACACGACAAGCACACCAGGAACAGTGGGGAAGGAGGACACGACCCAAGCACCAGGAACAGTGGGGGAGGAGGACACGACCCAAGCACCAGGAACAGTGGGGGAGGAGGACACGACCCAAGCACCAGGAACAGTGGGGAAGGAGGACACGACCCAAGCACCAGGAACAGTGGGGAAGGAGGACACAACCCAAGCACCAGGAACAGTGGGGGAGGAGGACAAGCACCAGGAACAACCATTATGGAACACATGGCCAACTAGAGTATCAACATAACACGCACACAACCACCTGGAAAGGTACTAAAACACGGGGTAGCCACTCATGGTAAAGTTGAAGGCATGATAGAGGGAGATCCTGGCGGGTAGACCTGCCCCTGACAGTACACCCACCACCCAGGAACAGTGGGTGGTGGTACAGGTACGCCCACCACCCAGGAACAGTGGGTGGTGGTACAGGTACACCCACCACCCAGGAACAGTGGGTGGTGGTAGAGGTACACCCACCACCCAGGAACAGTGGGTGGTGGTACAGGTACACCCACCACCCAGGAACAGTGGGTGGTGGTACAGGTACACCCACCACCCAGGAACAGTGGGTGGTGGTACAGGTACGCCCACCACCCAGGAACAGTGGGTGGTGGTACAGGTACACCCACCACCCAGGAACAGTGGGTGGTGGTAGAGGTACACCCCACCACCCAGGAACAGTGGGTGGTGGTACAGGTACACCCACCACCCAGGAACAGTGGGTGGTGGTACAGGTACACCCACCACCCAGGAACAGTGGGTGGTGGTACAGGTACACCCACCACCCAGGAACAGTGGGTGGTGGTACAGGTACACCCACCACCCAGGAACAGTGGGAGGTGGTACAGGTACACCCACCACCCAGGAACAGTGGGTGGTGGTACAGGTACACCCACCACCCAGGAACAGTGGGTGGTGGTACAGGTACACCCACCACCCAGGAACAGTGGGTGGTGGTACAGGTACACCCACCACCCAGGAACAGTGGGTGGTGGTACAGGTACACCCACCACCCAGGAACAGTGGGTGGTGGTACAGGTACACCCCACCACCCAGGAACAGTGGGTGGTGGTAGAGGTACACCCCACCACCCAGGAACAGTGGGTGGTGGTACAGGTACACCCACCACCCAGGAACAGTGGGAGGTGGTACAGGTACACCCACCACCCAGGAACAGTGGGTGGTGGTACAGTACACCCACCACCCAGGAACAGTGGGTGGTGGTACAGGTACACCCACCACCCAGGAACAGTGGGTGGTGGTACAGTACACCCACCACCCAGGAACAGTGGGTGGTGGTACAGGTACACCCCACCACCCAGGAACAGTGGGTGGTGGTACAGGTACACCCACCACCCAGGAACAGTGGGTGGTGGTACAGTACACCCACCACCCAGCATGGGCCACCTGGCCCACGCCTGTACACTGACCCGCCCCTTTAAACGCTCTGAGATAAACAACCCTTCCCTCTTCCAGCATCCCCCTGTACATTACCAATGCCACGCTATTTAACGCTAAATTCATACTCGAGGCAACTTAGATATATTTTAAAGCGTGTCAAATGTGTTAGGTGTGTGAGAGCCGCGGCACGCCAGGGTGAGGCTGTGAAGCTGACAAAGTGAGACACCACGGACTTACTGGTAGGTGAGGCCCTCTCCTGTGGCGAACAACTGTGCGCCGGTATTGCCATCCTCCGGTACATAACTGGTCCCACCGCATATCAGATAATCCGCCATCTCAAAATCTGTAATAGTGTGTAGCGACAGAGTTCAAGTGTTACACAATGTCACTTAATCCAAGTAGGACAGTGCTCGCCCTGCTCTCTGATCCACCCGATCTCACCGCGTGGACCAGACTGAAGGCGACTACTCACTCAGAGGCCCACTCCGCTGCCATGTCAATACAAAATCACTTTCTTCTAAATTTAAAGATATAAAATCAAGTAAATGTTTCTTTTAATTTTAGTCTTGTATAATTCTTTAATTAAATGCGTATTTGTTAATATATTACAGCCTAAAATAAGCATTTATTCGATGGAAGTTCCAGGTACAATATGGTTTCATTTGAATACACCTGTTGCCAAGCAACGGAGGAAGCGGGAAGTTTGAAGGATGTTGTGAGTATCAAACCTCATCTGGAAATAGCTGAGTGAGCAGACGATGCCGTGTGCCAGGGAATTTTGGCTGACTTACACTCAAGCTAAACCATGTGCCAAGCAATCCTCAGAACTTGGTTTCATTCCTTTAACTGTAATCAAGGAATATTGCAAGGTGGATTAAATAAATTCGGCTACAATGATGAAGTGAATAATTTATATTTTTTATTTTTATTTGTTTATTTTTATATACAAGAGTTCTTATATTCTTGTACAGCCACTAGCACGCATCGCGTATCAGGCAGGTCCTTAATCCTAATTTTTCCCGGAATACTACCCACCAAATAGTTTAACAACCAGGTAAAATTCACTGCTGGGTGAACAGAGGGTACAGTTAAGGATTGGTGCCCAGTCAATCCTCCCCGGCCAGGATACGAACCCAGGCCAAAGGGCTCGCGAAGCGTCGGGCGAGTGTTTTACCACTGCGCCACGGGGACTGCATAATTAAGTGATTCACCCGGCCCCAGATAAAAAGTGCAGATGAATAAGTGAATGCCACAGTATGAGTATTGTCGGCGCCGTCCAGTGCTAAATTTAAGGAAATGTTACTCACTTTATGCGACGTAAACGTATATAGTTCCTGCGCCAGAGAGGGCAAGGTGTACAGGGGTGAAGTGAGGGTTCAGGTGAACTTGGCGACGTAGGTGGCACGTATAGCAGGGATGGTACTAGCTTCCCTGTACTCACCTATCTTGAGATTCTCTAGTTATCTTGAGATGATTTCGGGGCTTTAGTGTCCCTGCGGCCCGGTCCTCGACCAGGCCTCCACCCCCAGGAAGCAGCCCGTGACAGCTGACTAACACCCAGGTACCTATTTTACTGCTAGGTAACAGGGGCATAGGGTGAAAAAACTCTGCCCATTGTTTCTCGCCGGCGCCCGGGATCGAACCCGGGACCACAGGATCACAAGTCCACTTGTTGTCCACTCGAACCTACATGTTCTTCCCAGCATCACTTGCTTAATGAGTGTATTCATTTGTTTTTCTTATCATATTTACATTTAAAAGTGTGTGTTGATTTAGCTTCGTTTTTTTTATTTTATGTCTTTTTTCTATTTTTATTTTTTTCTACTCTATTCCATTTATTTATGACTTACCTTGAAGAATGTCAAGTCTGTCACCTCTGTACTCATATACTCTTAGCAGTATCATCTATAAGACGCCTTCTAATGGTGTTGCTGGCGCCTTGATCATTGGCTGTGAAGGTGAGATCCAGTGTGAGTGTTAGTGGAGGATGGGCAGGCTTGCTGCTCATGCAAGGTGAGGCCATGTCAGGAGAAAGTGCTAAGCCAGCCCGACTATAGAGAGACCACTGGAGCTGTGGTATACGAGAACTGCAGACATTATGGGGACAGTACATACAAATGAGAAGGTAATGTGCATGGGTGGCACGCATTACTTTATGAAATATATAAAAAATTATCTAAATTTTAGGGTTTAGATATACTCTTTAAACTTCTGTAATATATAGCGCAATAATCTCCTTTTAACACCAAGACCAGCTAGTTCATATAAGATAACCTCTTTGTTGGCTTTATCAAAAGCTCATTGTAAATCATTAAATATTCTATAATAATCATTATCATTAGCTAGACATTTAATATTACAGTCAGAGGTACTTTTTCCTCTGAGGAACCCGAACAAATTACTAGACAGCTGATCACCTATTATATATAAAAGTCTATTTAAAATGATCCTCTCCATCATTTTACAAAAACACGAGGTTAAGGACACAGGTCTGTACTCTCCATTGGCTTTAGGGATAGGGATGATCATGGCTTTTTTCCATTTACTGGGAATACTGCCCCTCTTTATAACTAATAATAAAGAGGTCTAACAGTGGGCTTTTCTTCATAATGGCAAGTTCATTAAGTATTTCATAAGTTACTCCATCCTCCCCAGGGGCGGTAGATTTCCCAACTTTAATCGCCGTTATTAGTTCATCTCTGGTAATACCTGTGCAAGTGACATCTCCACTGTTACCTGCTGTAAGTATAAAATCCTTTCTTAGATCTTTCCAAGAATCTAATGACTCTCGTTCTGGCGGGTAATGAACTAAGTTTGGCAGCTTCCGCCCATTTATTTACAAGACCATTTGCAATTCCTTGCGGGTCAGGATGTGCAACAAAATTTTGTTTCTTACCCCTTACTATATTTACGTCTTGCCAGATTTCCTTCAAGTTTCTGTTACTCCCAACTTTCTCAGCAAGCTCCTGCTAATACTTGCTCCTAATTTCCTTTCTCTTCTCCCCACACAGCCTAGCAACTGCCAGTAAAGCATTCTTCCCTTCCTCAGTCCTACCATTCCTATTCCTGTGAGCTCTCCTCATTGTTAATGTCCACCCCTTAAGCATCTTGTCATGTGTATAATTTTCTTATCTGGGGGGATGCTTTTTTATACTAGACGTTTTCCGGTTCAATGTTGCATTAAATCCATCTACCTCCTTAATTAGATCTTCATAAAATGCTTCTGCCGAAACTGGCTTATAAGTATCATACCAAGACTTAATATGGCCAACAAGACCCCTTAATTCTCCCTCATTAAACTCTAACCTTTTCCTCTGAAGGCACGCATGCTTTTTATCTAGTTTAAGCTGTATTTGTAATGCAAAATGTTCACTTAGCATTTCATCCACAGTAAGACAATTCTCCTCTATGCCCTCAGCATTTATCAAACAAGCATAATCTAATCTCCCTCCCCTCAGATGAGTAGGAGAGGGGCTCAAGTACTCACATAGTTGTATTCACCTAGTTGTACTCGCCTAGTTGTACTCGCCTAGTTGTACTCGCCTAGTTGTACTCGCCTAGTTGTACTCGCCTAGTTGTACTCGCCTAGTTGTACTCGCCTAGTTGTACTCGCCTAGTTGTACTCGCCTAGTTGTACTCGCCTAGTTGTACTCGCCTAGTTGTACTCGCCTAGTTGTACTCGCCTAGTTGTGTTTGCGGGGGTTGAGCTCTGGCTCTTTGGTCCCGCCTCTCAACCGTCAATCAACAGGTATACAGATTCCTGAGCCTATTCGGCTCTATCATATCTACACTTGAAACTGTATGGAGTCAGCCTCCACCACATCACTTCCTAATGCATTCCATTTGTCAACCACTCTGACACTAAAAAAGTTCTTTCTAATATCTCTGTGGCTCATTTGGGCACTCAGGTAGAAACTGTGTCCCCTTGTGCGTGTGCCCCTTGTGTTAAATAGCCTGTCTTTATCTACCCTATCAATTCCCTTCAGAATCTTGAATGTGGTGATCATGTCCCCCCTAACTCTTCTGTCTTCCAGCGAAGTGAGGTTTAATTCCTAAGTGGTCAAGTAGCTGCGAGAGGCATGATCTTCCTGCTCTAAATCCATGTTGACCTGGGTTGTGGAGGTCTGATATTGTGCTGTTTTAGATTTAACTACTCAGAACGAAGTGTCCATGTAGCATGGGCTATGGTGAGCCCGTAAGAGGTCTGATTGATGAAGATATAAAGAGGTGGCACCGAAGAGGTGGCACGGGCATGAATAGCCCATAAGTGTGGAGGTCATTGATCGGTTACCTTGCGATGATTTCAGGGCTTAACGTCCCCGTGACGCTACTGTCTCGCAGGACCTCACTCCCGCCCCCCCCCCCCCATCTTGCTGTACTCACCTAGTTGTGCTTGTGGGGGTTGAGCTTTGACTCTTTGGTCCCGCCTCTCAACTGTTAATCAACTGGTGTACAGATTCCTGAGCCTACTGGGCTCTTATCATATCAACATTTGAAACTGTGTATGGAGTCAGCCTCCACCACATCACTGCCTAATGCATTCCACCTGTTAACTACTCTGACACTGAAAAAGTTTTTCTCTAACGTCCCTGTGGCTCATTTTGGTATTAAATTTCCACCTGTGTCTCCTTGTTCGCGTACCACCCGTGTTAAACAGTATCTTCATCTACCCTGTTAATTCCTCTGAGAATTTTATAGATAGTGGTCATGTCCGCCCTAACTCTGTCTTCCAGGGACGTGAGGTTTAGTTTCAGTAATGTTTCCTTGTAGATCATACCTCTCACCTAATCATACTGGCTTAGTATGATTTTAGTATGATGTAGATCTTTAGCCGAATCTAAAACAACAACAAGAGACAAGAGCTATCTGCTGCTACGGTTACCTTACCGTAACAGGTACCGCCTGACCATAGCCTCCCGGCCAGGCCCCGGAGTCACCTCCCTGGCCAGCAACCCAGCCCCGCCCACACAACAGCGGGACACTTCTACCCCCACGGCCATCTTGCCAGCCTTACCGGACAGGTAAGATCCGGTAAGGCCCACCTTCTGTTTACATCTATCCATTTAACCTTATCGGGCGGCCACGTTCAAGTTTAAGTACGTTTATTGAAACAATAAGATACAGCTCAAAGAGACAGTAGCTTAGGCTATTTCTACCTTCCTAATCGGCCGCCCGGGCCGCCGAATAATTACCCATCTACCGTTGTTCCAATAGACACTACCTGACCGCCGCCTCTCTCCCGGCTAAGCTCCGGAATCTTCTCCCTGACCGGGGTTCCGTCCTCGCCAGCAAGACAGTGGCTGCCTTGTGACCCCCGCAGCCAGTTGGTTGTTGTTGTTGTCTTAGATTCAGCTACTGGGAGCAAAAAGTTACAAGTAGCACGGGCTATGGTGAGCCCGTTGTGGACTCCCCGGGCATAGAAGCGGGGCTGTGCTTACGGACTATACAGCTCTGTTTATGACGAATTTAACT